CGGGCACCGAGGGCTCGGCTCGTCGGGGCGAGAGCTGGTCCCGGCACGCTTCCCTGCAGCCAGGCAGGGTTCCACCGGTGTTCCTAAGCAGAGGAAAAGGAGGTAGGAGGAATTGCCCACCGGGTGTTTGTAAGAAACCGCAGGTTTTGCTGCTTTACAGGCAGGCTACGAGTGTCTTATCCTGTCCATCTCTAGAGTGATTTAGAGGTCCCATAAAAGCCCTGCAGAAGGAGGACTTTTGCTTGACTTTTCCTGGCAATACATCTTATCTCCAGTGAATTTCCCAAGACTCTGTTTGTAGCCGCAAGTAGAGTGTTTGTTCCCATTCATCTTAGGAGACACCTTAAAAAGGCAAATAACACGTACGTTCTCTGAAAAGCTCAGATACTCTTGCTGACAGCATTGCTAACATCAGTGACATGTTTGAAAACCAGGTAAGCAGTAAATAGAAAGATCCCCACTTGAATTCTTTTAAATACAGAGGACCCAAGCTCTCCTTTTTACAAGCAGAGCTCAATTCAGGGTGCAGGAAACTCAGTACAAAGCCGGCCATGAATCGTTTCCACACAATTAGCACGAGTGCATGCAGATCAGGCAGCTGCATGCATAAATGCCTGGCTGCCTGCCTTTGGGTGCAAACTCTCAGTAATTGGTCTGGGACAGAATGAACAGGCGAGGAGGGGGAAAGTCTGCGCAGGTAGCTCGGGAGAGCTGCAGCCAAGTGATCCCAGAACGGGACCGAAGGTGAGGAACGTCCTCGGAGCCGCGCAGGGTTACGTGATCCCAGCTCCCAGGAAGGGAACACGCTGGGCTCTGGAGGGACCTTGGTGGCGGTGGCTCCCGGGACCTGAGCTGCTCCCCTTGGCCTCAGAGGGGTGAGGGAGAGACCAGGTCCCCCCGACCCCCAGGACACTTTTTTCCCGGCTGCCTTGGCCGGCTGTGCCGGCTGACGGGAGGGCTGTTGGGCTGGACGTGGTTAGCGGAGTCGCCGGGCGCACGGACGTGCTCGGAGAGGTTGTTCCTTGCCACGTTACACCGCTGCCTGCCATGGCCTCTGCCCACGCCGCCGAGTTAACTGGGACCTCGTTTCATGCTGCCCTTCCGAAGGGACCTGGTGCTGCAATGCCTTCTGTCTGGAGCAGAGGTGAAGGATACTCTGCCATGTTCGTGCTCTCTGGAGACACCCAGTCAGTCCTCTGAGGAGCTTTTTCAGCTCCAGGAGATTGTTGCAGACCACAGAGGACAGAAAATACAGAGTGGAGGCCTGGAATGACCCTTCAATTATCCCAACTAGGCAAAGGGAGGTTGCTGTTAACATAGGCATTTAAGAATAAAGCAACCGCTTCATCGGGCAACTGCTTATCCCAGTCCCGGAGCCTCCTCCCGCTGCTCCCCTCTGCTCACGGAGCCTTCGGAGGAACCAGCCCTCTGCTCCCGCCAGCCTTCAGCCAGGCTCTGCCTCCGCAGCGGCTGTCACCGGCAGAGCAAAGGGACTAATTAAACCTGACAGAATGTCACGTTCGTTATCTCTAGGTTCGAAATGTCACATCGCTAACTCCAGCCCGATGTCATGAACACGGCGAAGCCCTCTGGGAAGGTCCAGCCTCGATTGCCGCCTTAGTCCGTTAATGAGGGAGCAGATCTCCCTCCTCGTTGCCAGAGCAGTGGGACCCCCGCAGCCCCCCAGGGCAGCGCGGTGGTGCCGGACCCAGCGCAGAAGCTGCATGGTAAAGCCGGCGTGAACCACCCCTGTGCCGTGGGCTCTGCTCTGTGCCAGGGCAGCCCCTCTGCCCGCCCAGGGACCCGGTGCCAGCCCCGTGGGAGGAGGTGACGGCCGGTGATCAAGGTCAGCCCCAAGCTCCTCTTCCTCCGCTCCCGCACCGAGGCCGCAGCCGCGTCCAGCCCCTTCCCCCCGCGCCGGCGGAGGGGCCCGGGTGGGCTTTGGTGCAAAGGACGGAGAGAGCGTGAGCAAGGACCCCTCAGCCTCCTTTCTGGACCCTGGAGCTTGTGTCCCACTGGCTCTGGTGGGATTTAAGGGTGCATTTATAGCATGTCGGAAAGTGCTTTCCGAATTAACCTCCAGCCTGCCCAAGGTGAGGACCGACACAGGATCAGGCGTTTCTTCTTTCTGGGATATTGATTTCCCCCCTCCCTTTTTTTTTCCTGTTCAGCGAAAGCCAGGAAATCTGAGCCAGCTCAGAGGCTTTGCTCAATACCCTTATTGCAGGAAACGCTCCTGAAAAACAGGCAGATGAGAAGTCGCTGGAGGGGACGAGCACCCGGCCACGACCGACCCCCCCGGCTGCAGAAAGGCAAGCGGGGAGGCTGAGGACATCAGCCCCAACGGGGAGGCTGAGCCTGGGCTACGGCCCCGTCTGGCCGGGGCAGAGCCGAGGGGGTGAAGGGGCTCCCCCAACGGTGCCACAGCCCGGCCTCGGCCTCGGCAAATGGTTGCAAAAAAACCTGGGGTTTATTTATGCTTTAAAATCAGCACACGAGACTGCCTGCCAGCTGGAAGGGGGTACGATTTCTTGATTAGAAATGCCACGTGGATACAAATGAACTTGAACAAAAGGAAAGAGAAATAGAATACAGCCTCTTTCTGCAGAGACAGGGACGCTAAAGAGGCACGGTCCATGTTTTAGAAACGCTGTTTAAAGAAGTAGAAGATATTCTGCTGCTGATTAGTAATGCCACGAAGGCGACTGAGAATGTGCTGGAGTCAATAAAACAGTGCTGGACTTTTTGAATAAAGCGGATCTCAGTTCAGCAAGGATGTGGCAATTGGTTTCTTTTCTGCCGGACTCAGTACAAGGGGAATCGTGGGGAAATTGTTAAATTTGCTCAGTCTCCAGTCAGAAAGCCTTTCGGGTTAGTTAGGCACATCAGCACGGATGGTTAACGGGGACAGAGCCAAGTATCGTTAGGGAAGATGAGTGCTGGCCCAGGGGAGGCTTCGGCAGTGGCGCAGGTTTGCAGGCACGTGGGACCCTCAGCTTCAGCGGGTAAATAGTAAATATAACCTGTGTCATGGGAAAGGAAAACATGACGGGCAGCAGCCAGCCTGTATTTTCCTTTCCTCTTGCCCAGCATTAGCCTAAGAAGCCCCATCCCATTGTCAGAAGAATAAGCTGTGAAATGGTTTTGAAAATAAAGGCTTTTTAATTACAGGCACATTTGTGAGCCTTCTGGAGGCCATCTGGCTGGAAGAGCGGGGTGTTAGCATCAGCGCTGGCGGGGAAGGGAAGCCCAGGGAGGCAGAGTGAGGAGCAGCTCCTGGAAAAGCACTCTATTAATGTTAAGAGCCAAATCCTCTCTATACATTAAGCCATATGGGCCAGATCCAGCACCTATCCATTTCAGCGGTGCCAGAGCCGCTTGGCAGCGGCAGAGACGCGATGCTGCGTGATGTGAGCTTTGGAAGGGGCTGAGCTGTGCTGCTCATCCAGCCCTTGGCCGAGCAGGACCCCGGCCACCCCCTGCAGAAGGGGAATCCTGCAAGCACCAAGAGCACGGAACACCTTCCCCCCCGACCTGCCCCTGCCTTCTGCCCACCGGTGCCGGAGGGGGGTCTGCAGCCTCATCCAGCAGCAACCTCCTCCCCTCGGCTGCAAATATGAGGTGTGCAGTGAACAGCAGCTCCCCTCGTGTCAGTTTATTAATCCCTGGTGTTTGAATGAATGTTATTGGCGTCAAATTAACTCCAGCGCATTTGATCCCATCTGGGCTTAGCATACCCCAAGAACAGAGGTTTCTAATAAACCTGAATGCCCAAGCTCCATTTGCCATTGCTGCCTGCCACGGGGCAAGTTCATGGGGGAATGTGTTTCTGTAATTATTGTCCCGTGTTTGGTATTAACCACTCCTATCAAAGATGCAGAACGCAGCCAGGGCCTCATTAAAGACTGTCATTGTGCTAATTAGGTAGGTTTCATGCTTAATAACAGGGAACTATTACATGGCAGTTTCATGAAAAAAGAGGAGAGAAAACCATTATAATTTCAGGAAAAGTCCCTGGAGAAGCGAAATGGTAATTCACAAATCCTACCCTGATCTATTAGCAGATCCTGCTCCGGAGACCAAATTAGGTAGGGTGTCTGGCTTGGCTGATATTCTTTATTATTTGAATGCCTCTTAAAGAATATTTATTAAATATTTTTTTCTCTTAAGGACTTTGAGATCCAGCTACATCTACTTGCAATTTTCAAGTGGCTGTTTGAAGCCTAGGTCACACAATTTGTCACTGCAAACACCCTGGAAAATCCCATTTCAATGCAAAACATCCTTTGAAGATACACTTAAGAGTCAGAGAGAACATAAATACATTAGAAACTATGTTGGGCATTCAGTCAGCTGTCTGTGCAAAGTGCCCTGGTAGGGATCTGTTCCTTCGAAAAAAGAAGAAATTAAGCAAACAAACACCACCACCTCTGTCCTGGGGCTGGCGTTCATCCTTTGTGATCCCCAAAGCCGAACGTTTGCCTTGCCAGCAATTGCAGGCACAGCAGAGGGAGGAGCAGCGGGTGCCGGGGGTGAAGGGACCCCGCACGGGCTCTGACCCCGGCTCTGATCCCACTCACGGGGATTCGGGTGGGAGCAGGCACGGACTTGGCAGTGCTGCCTGCAGCAGGAGCAATTATTTTGGGTGGGAAAGGAACACGTGGGTGGCAGCTGGGACCAAGAACTGCCCTTTCCACGTGAAACTAGAAACAATAGCGTTTCCTCTGAGCAGGGACAGAGAAGGCTGGGTTTAGCAGCTGATCTTTGGGCAGCTCCCTGGCGCAAGCGTCCGCGGGCAGGATGACCTGGCTCTGTTCTGTGGGCCGGGGCAGCTGCTGGGAGCACGCGGGGCCAGAACTGCTCCTTCTCAGGAGAAACTTCCCATCGGCTCCGCGCAAGACCCCGTCGGTGGGGGGGAGCGGCACAGCGACAGCTGCTGGGGTGGGGGATCCAGCATTTGCAAGGGACCACGTGTGCTGGCAAAGTGGGTTTGGGTTTTTAAAGCCCTGGGTTGCACAGCCTCTGCAGGGTGCTGGAGGTGTGGGCTGGACGGGGGTGGCACCGACGGGAGGCAATGGGGGGCAATCCCTGAGACCTGCTTTTCCCACGGAGTAGGTTCCCAATGTACATTTTAGGCTCGAGATCTCCCTGTGTCCTGCATAAACTCATCCTCTTTCCTGGATAATACATGGCCTTGGAGAGGTAACCACCTGCAGAGATGTACCCTTCATCTCTCGGCTGAAATGTCGCCGTGGCCATAGCTGTGCCCGTCCCCCTGCCCTGCCACGCTCAGCCTGAGCCCTTGCCGGCTGCCCACCACACTCATCACAGCTGAGGGCAATGCTCAGTGACAAATTTAAAAAGCCCCTGGTATGGATGCTTAGCATGTTAGAGCCTTTCTCCATCTGGCATGGTGCTTCTCTCTGCGTGGGGCTCAGCCTTCAGTGCCAGGCTGGGACGTGCTCCTGGGGATGGGGGGTACCATGGGGCAATGCCATCGTGCTCGGTGCTCCCCGCTGCGCTGTCAGCCTGGCCCTCCGCTGGGTCTCTGCCGTTGTGCCTGGGCAGCGGGGAGCCCCGGGGTGAGGCCACGCTCTCCGGGGACTGAGGCTGGTGCAGGAAAAGCTGTTGCTCACTCTTGTGCTGCTGCTTACAGAAAGCTCCTTCTCCTCTTTGCTGACCCTATGGAAAGGCTGGTGGGAGCTGGGAGGGTGTATTTGTAACAAACAGGATGAACTACTGATAAAAGAGGAGGAAAACAAAATGCTTTAGGAACAGCCTTTTGGTATTCAGAGAAATGAAGAAGGGGAAAACAACCAGACCTAAAGCCTGTGAGGAGGAAAAACAAAAGCTTGCTTGCAACTCAGGTTCCTGAAAAAGTGCTGAGCATAGCTTTCAGATGCTGACCCACTCCTCTCCTTGTATGGGCAGAAACGGGGCTTGCCTTGTGCCTATATTTAATTTGCAAGGGAAAAAAAAAAATTCTCCCTCCATGCCTCTGCTCCACTGGCCTCTCTGTCTTGGGAAGTTACAACAGGAATAGAATTGCATGTTTAAAAAAAAAAACAATACTACTCCTCACTCATAAGCCCTTCCTAAACTTGGAGTGAGCGGAACAGGTTTTTGCAACCTAACACTGCTGCACACACGAAGCATCTGGTGAGGGTAATGGAAATGGGGGGCTGCAATGCAATCAATAGGCTCTGCGCCACCTTCATGCTCTTGAGACTGTGGCTCAGGGAGCTGCCGGGAACTTGCCTCAATCACGTTTAACTCCCGGAGACGGAGAGGGGAGGACCCACGGCGGGGCAGGAGGCTGCGGCAGGACCCGCGTGGGCTCGTCCCCCTCCACGAGCCAGGGACTGCGCGGCTCCGAGGCCCTTCCCTCAGCAGCAGTTTCTCCCCCAAACATTTCTCCCTCCGCCTTTTCCCCGTGCTGGGGGAGGAAGATGGACGTTGAAGCGTTACCCGAAGGCTCTCGGGGACGTGCATGGGCTGCAGTGGGACGTGCCTCCGGGGCAGCGCTGGGACCCTGGCAGGGAACTCCGGCTGCAGCTATTATCCCTGCTATGATTTATAACCCCTCCTTGAATGGAAACTCTCCTGGCCGCTCCCCAAACTCCCCAGTCCCCGCTGGGAACAGGCTGACACAAACCGCATGCGCTCCCGGCTCCGACCCCTGCCAGCCGAGCCTTTCGTGCCTACTCGGCCGAGTTTTCATGACAGTGAAAACCCAACAGCTTCTGCCCTGGAGAAAAGCAGGACTGAGGGTCGCCCCGGGACGGAGTCGGCCCCAGAGCGTGCTGGAGACTGATGTCACTTTATTGGTTACTCTTGGAGAGCCGGACACTGAAGAACTTGGTTCTGTCAAGACGAGGTTTGTACACAACAGCAATAGGAAACAACAACAATAAAAGTCTGTTGCAACTTTGTAACTTGGTGCAACCTCAACAATAAACTTTTGCAACACTGCATCTGGTGCGACCTGTGGGGAGAAGGGCATGGGGAGAGAAGGAAAACCTGCTGAGAGCTTGAGGGTCACAAATTTCCGTGAAAAGAGCCTTGTGTCATACTGGTTTAACTGGCAGGGGAAGGAGAGATGCTGGGAGCACGGTGGAGATGCAGTTTATGGGGAAAACCCCACAGCTGAACTACAACAAAGCTGGGGTTCAACACCCCCACTTAGCAATTGTTTAAGTCTTATAAATTCAAACTTATTTCTTTCAATTTAAATAACAAGTGCTTCAGGTACAATGCTTGAATTGCCTGGTTTATAACCCAGTTTTAAGTGCACACAAGCAGGAATAGATTTTTTTTTTTTAAAAAAAAACTATATATATATTTGCACACTCATACACACACATGCACACAGTGAATTTTGTGCTGCAGCTATTTTAACTAGAGATGATGGAATGGGCCTGAAGTGGCTATCTTAAGCTGGGCTCCAGGAGCTGGTCATCCATGGCACCACTCACCCTAAAGCTGCTAAAGATTCTGAATATTTTTGCAAATATCAGTCCCCAAAAGTCTCCCCACATGGGGCTGTGTCAGCTGCTGCTCGGACTGCCCCTGAAGCTGTAGTTCTCTGGAAAATGCCACTTGCAGGCGACGGAAGCCCACAGCATGTTTTGCAGAGGACGCCTCTCTCATCTCAGTCCATGTTGAGAGCTCAAGGGTCTCCTGAAAAGAAGTGTACGGCCTCCAGGTCCTCCCCGGTGTGGAACAAATGCTTGACAGAGCAGAGAACACTGACGACCTCAGACCCAAACAGCTGTATTGATGTCAAACCCAGACTGGGTGTAGTCTATGGTATCGTGGACTTTCTTGGTGCCAATTTTGGGTTTCTCGCCGTTGCTTTCTGCCTTCGGGCACCTCTCCGCTTTGCTGTGATGGTTCTGGATGTTCCCATGAAGTGGGAAGTAAAACGTCCCCTTGAGTTTGTTCATCTTTTTGGGTCTCTTAGAAATTTTGGGCTGTTTGTCTTCAGGCGGAAGCCAGCAAGGTTTCTCCTTGAGAAGCCTGTCTCGGTCTGGCCGAACGCTCCTCAGGAACTTCTTGAAGATGTTGGCTGTGAGGGAGAACTTCCTGCAGAGCTCCTGGGATCTGCTCATGGACAGCGACGCCTCGTTCTTTTCCCCCTTCTTATCCAGCTCTGGCAGATCCAACCAGTTCCCAACCAAGTCTGCAAAGATGTTATCCCCCAGCACCAGCGGCTGCCGATTCCTGCTCTGGGACATTAGGGAGGATGTCCAGTCATGGCCATCGTCGCACCCTGGGCACTCCTGGCATGCTGGCCAGCCCCCAGCTGTGCCCTGGCTACTGGGCTTGAATGTCCTTGGGCGGACGTGCTCCGCTCTGATCGACGCGGAGGAAGGTCCTTTTGGGTGACAAACATCCTCATCACGGAGGCTCCTGAAGGAGGAGGGGGTGTCTTTAAGGTGGCCGCCCGCCGGGAGCGCAACGGGATGGGACAAACCCACCGGCTGCGGCACAGCACAAGTGAGGGCCGTGGGGCCGTGCTCCTCCACCGATGCCTCCCCCCGCAGCCCCTCGTCCTGCCGGGTCCTGGGCACGTCGCTGCTGCTTCGGCAGCACTGGTGCTGCTCAATGCCAGAAACGGTGCTCCGGCTCCCCGAGATGTCCAACTGCTCCAAAGCTGTCTGGACCTGGAGGAGTTTCAGCTCCTGCAGTGCACCCATCATGCAGTTCATCTGCTCGTGCAGCCCGTCTCCAACCTCCTTCATGGACAGCTGTGGAGGGAAGGAAGCAGAGATCGAGTCAGTGTCGCCAGGAGCGAGCAAGAAAATTTTGACCAAACGGCAGGAGAGCTGGGATGAGCAGCTTTCTGAAACATCACCTCGTCCTACTGACTACATTTTAGATGCATCCTACCTGTACTACATCCATTTCATGGAAGAGCAATTGGATTTTTCTTAGATTTTTCTAGGAGTTTCCCTCCAGGAATAAGAGGAGCTGACAGGAGGAGTGGATTTTTTGACCTGACAACAAAAATAAATAGTTTGAATTTCCATTAATTGCTTGGCACAAATCCAAGGTGTAGAACTATGAATGGTTCTGGCTGCCACCAGTCTTAGCATATTCTTCTGCTTTTGTGTCTTTTGTGCCCTGTAACTAACTGAAATCAGGAGTCAGAATAATGAACAGAAGTACCTTCCACAAAGAACCTTGCTTCTTTACCTAAAGTGCTAAAGTAAATTAAAAATAAACCCCATTAAGAATCGGATTGTTACTATATAACACATCTTCAGATCTTAATACCCTCATTACAGGACAATCAAAGACATTTCAATGCACTTGAAATTTTGTACAAACCAACCAACAGACTCAAAAATTACTTACGTTAAACTAGCAATCCCTTTGGTTCCCAAGCTAGAGCCTTTAGTAGCAGTTCTGCTTTATCCCTGAACCTGGCTATAAAGATTTAACTTTCTAGACTAGACTTAAAATAAGCAAGCTATTTTCCAGAGCTTCTAAACTTCCCCCTCCACTCTTTCGCTCTGTTGCTTTCTCTCTCTCATGTAGGATCTGGATCATATTCCCAAAGCGGCATCATAAAACAAATGGGCTATACTTTCCAACAGCTGCCACTTTTTTTTTTTTTAGCAGGGAGGGGGAGTGGGGAATGGGAAGGAGAGGGGAAGAACAGCAGGGGATGGCAGGGCTGGAGGTGAAGACTTGTCACATTGATGTAAGGTGGTTTGCAGAAGAGATTACCACTGTCTAGGAAAAGCTTCAGCCTACACTGTCATAAACAGTTTAAAAGGCTCGTCACAATTTTTGTACAGAAATAGATCTCAAGCTTGGGGTGAAAAAGGACGGATGCATCTTATGTTCAGCTTTATGTGATCAAGGTTTACTTTTTTACATCTCCTTCATTTTAACTAAGTTAGTTCAATTACTTGCTCTATTTCCATTTCTGTATGTGGATCTGACCAGTGAGAAAGAGCAGTCATCAAAAAATTGGATCGTCTGTAACAATCTAGCTCCATAAGCGGAAAGCTCCTCAACAGTTTCTGACCACAAATCTCCACTTCAAACCCCAGAACCTAAAACTAGCTGACAGGTTACGATCATTTTTCATAGCTTCACTCCCAAGAAACTTATTTATCACCCAGAAAGAACACACAAGCTGTGAAGATACAGAAAATCTGTGTTTAGCTTTCCGATTACACTATCAAGTGTCTCCAGCTATCTAATTTTTTACCATCAGCAAATAAACCTCTACTTCTGTAGACATGCAAATAATGCCCCACTTACAGACTAACCAAGCTCTTGGGTTACCCGTACAAAAGCTGGGGCCATATGCTCTACAAGCCTCAGACAAAACTATCACCTTACCTCTCCAGATTTGCTGTAATGCTTCTTGTCCTAACCTTTCTCGCCTTATTAATGGAAGTCTGTTTTATCTGGGGCTTTGCAAAAAGCTGGATTTGGAGCCAGCTTGGCCCCTCATTGGCCACTTCCCACCAAATCCCCTGGCCAGCGCAGCGCTGTAATCACGCCGTGGTGAGTGACGAGGTCCTGCGGTAATGACTGGGCTGATCAAACCCTCGGCATATGCTGGACGGCTCTGCTGTTCACCTCATTGATTCAATTAACTCCCCCGTGATGGGTGGTATCATTACAATGCATACCTCATCCAGCGAGGCTCTATTAAGCATTAAAATTTCATAGGCAGCATTTATCGTCAGTGTGGTCGTTTCTCATGGGCAGATCCCGTCTCCCCCTGACAAGAAAAGACCTGAGCCCCGAACGCTCAGGCTCCAGCACTTTTCCTTCTGAACAAATGAGCTTGTTCTGCCAAACCTGGCACCAGCACCAGCCTGGCGAGCCCGAGCCACTGGAGAAGGAGTGGAGATGTTTTCGTCAGTGGAAACGCTTTCCCATGAATGACTACGAGCCTTGGACACTTCTCCCCTGATGCCCAGCACTGCCGGCGCTGAGGGCTGGGCTGAGCCGTCCCCCTCGCAGCAGAGGGGGAGAAACGGGGGCTTTCGGGACATGACTCATCTGTCCGGTTTCAGTAACCTGCTTTGGGGTGGGACGAATCCTGCCCTCTGGACTTAGCCTTGGTGTCCCTCTGGCCATGTGATTCCCACCATCAGCAAGATAATTTCAAAGATCCTGAGGCTTTTAACTCTGCTTGCAAACACTGCTAAAACTTTGGGTTGTGCAAGTTAAAACAAACAGCAGACAACTCCCCTTCTACTTTAGCTTTTGCTTTTCATGGTATCTGTTCAGTCTTTTACAGAACTGAAGAGTGAGTGAAACCCAGCCCAAAGTGAAGTCACTGACTTCTGCAGCCTGCAGAAGGGGCTTGGATTTCATCCACTAGTAATTACCCTGAGGTAATTAAGAGTCCTCACCTTGGAGAGAAAACTCTGAGGAAAAAAAAAAAGTTTCTTCCTCCGTGTCTAACAGCCACTCTCTCTGCTTTGCCAAGAAGATCTCAGTTCTCCCAAGTTCAGACTGGCTTCTCTGAGACTCTTCGAAAAGGAACAATCTCCCACAGAAGAGGGACCACCACCCTGGTGAAGGTTCAAGACTGAACTATCCGGGCTGCTGGAGGACAAAAAGTTTCTGTGCATAATCCAGCAGATTGGGCTGGAAGCCAAACAGATGCTCTGACTGCAAAGTGATGGGAACTCAAGGCTGAATGGACAACCACTGCAGCCTCGCTGGCTCTGTGGTCACACGCTTCACGTAGAAGGAACTGGAATTTGTGATGAACTAAAGTGCAATTTCAAACAGAGCATGAATGTGACACAAAGCCCCAGAGAGCCTTAATTTGGCGTGGAGAGAGACCCTGACTGTACTTGCAGGGGTTATGCAAGTGACATTATGTAAGCTGGCCACCATGGGGCATCAGGAGATGTTCTGTCTTGTGCATGTTTGTGAGCTGTAAATCCCAAACCTGTTGTTGAATCACCCCCACGCTCAGTCATGCTGCAGAGCAGAGTGCAGAGGAAACGGCATTCATTACAAAACTTCGGGTCTAGCACAGAGCTTGCTCATCAGCATCCTCCCTTCTCGTACCTGCTGGTCTCTGCTCGAGGTGCACAAATACGCCAGCATTTCAAGGGACTCTGGGTGTCTAATTTGAGACACTTTGTGCTTCAATACAAGTGGTTGTTTGGCACCTCTGCTTCCAAGAAAAGCCAAATTAGAACTACGACAACTTGCAGATGTTTAAATTTATAAAACAGGTAAAAATCAAGTACTTCAAATTGCATCTCATTACTTTTTCTGAAACTTTCGCAGTCCCTAAAAATTGGCATGAAAAAGTTTTAGTCTAATTCTGAACAAGCCAACGCAGATGCCTTTTATAGCAAGACAAGTACGCACAGGGCTGAGCACCCAGTTGGTTGTGATGCGCGTGTTCCACTTCAGTGGCTGGGACTCGGTGCGTGATGTTAAACGTTTCTTCTCCAGCAGTAAGGTGTTACCTCCAGATCAATCTTCCTGTGAAGGCATGGACAAGGCAGCTCTGGCTAAATGATTCTCCAAAGCAAAGCTTGCTTAAACTACAATCACCCTGAACGTTGAAAACTGAAGGGCAAAATTCAAAAGCTTTTCAAGCACTTTCAAATGATCAGCAAGCAATATTCAGTGTGAGGGGGGAAAAAACACAACAAGCCGTGAACATCTTGCAAAACTGGCAGAGTTCAAATATGGAGGTTTTTTACATTGGAAATCTACCATTTTGAGTAGCAAAGGTATCAATCACTTTGTAAGCCATGCCTTTTTAATGATTTCCTCAAAATACTTATTCCCAGAACTACAACTGCTATTGGTTTACACAGTCTATAAATCGATGATCTTCCACCACTGATTAACACAGCAGGAGGACAACTTGCCCCAAGGAACATCCTCCAGCAGTTACTGGCATTTTATCAAATTCAAAACCAAACACCTGAGACCACGAAAAAGGGAGATTTTGCTTGTCACTTCCCACTTCACAGGTAAATAAGTAACTTTTTTAACCCACTTTGGGAACTAACGTTTTCCTATTAGCACCTACGTTCACCGATTTCTCAGAATTCAGTTCCCATCAATCCCCTCGAGCCACAGCTGTCTGTATTCCCAGCACATCTGCACATCTGGCCTGCCCAGGACTGCAGCAGCTTTGTGATGCTGATGGGAGAAAAGGAAAAAGCCTGCTAACACACCATGGCTTTCAGCTGAGCACAGAGAACTGAAAAGAAGAGCTCTGAGTGTGTTTGTTGTAATGAGGAGGAAGACAGATGTCCAGCTCTTAGGTAAAAGAAATGCAAAGAGAGGAAGTTATTGCTAAGAGGACAGGAAAGAACAAATGGCAAATAGCAGTTCTTAATAATAGTGCTGATAGGCAACAGAACCAGCAACAAACAATTGGTCTTTAAAGAGGATGACATAATAGAGACCAAAATTATTTTAGAACTGCTGAGCTGATCATATTGTTTCTCTGTTTTCCTTTGGGTCACTAACTAGATTAATCTTCAACAAGCCTGCAATTGTGGCTGGGCATAACTCTTCGGAGTGCGCTGCACAGCTCACAGAGAGCTGCTTTCCAGCTTGATGTTGCACCTTTCTTTTTCTTCCCTGCAATCTCCTTTTTGTCCTTTTATCACAAGAATTTCAAGTCTCTTTTCTACCTCTTGTCTTTCCAGAGTATTTTAGGCATAAACGAGGATGTTAACTGTGAGCTCACAATTTATCTGAAAGAGGAAGGATGCTGAAACTTTACCAA